CTCATCATTCTTTCCCAGCACCAGGAGCGTGTGGAAAGGAGCCACGTGTGGAAATGTTGTTATTTCTTGAATGGGAGCTATAGTGTCGAAGAAGAAATCGTTAGACTTGCCTGGCTAATTGTCATAACATAAAGACATTCTCAACAGAAAACATTTGCGTTTCAGCTCATAATTCATTTAGTTGTGTGATATATAGTCTAGAAAGAAGAAATTAGAATGTACGTTAATTTTCTTTCTGTATAAGTAATGAAAGATGGATAGGAGTACTTCGCTAAGTAGAGATTGTATGATGTTGAGTGTATATGCGAAATTACAAAACATGCTTCTTTTTATTTCAGAGAGAGACGAAAGACAGAGAAAAGTGGTGCAATAACTCTAATGGTTCAATCATTTGTGAATACTTGTACACAGGAAAAAATGAAAACACAAATCAACCCTTCTAAATGAAAACTAAAAGCTTTAAAAAAATCAATGGAAAATGTATTTGCCTCTGAAACATTTTTTAGTCTTCAAACTCTTCATTCATCAATTTTAGCTGTACAATCACTTCTTGTTCTTGTCGTTAAAAATTTTTATATTGTATTTTCACTGTACCATTTTCTCCTATCAGTTTCAGCACACATTTGGTCGAAGAGTTCAGACGACTCATAATTTTATCGATCATTAATTTTGGTGTCCTCATGATGGTAAAATATGAGTAAGAAAGAAAGGAGCAGTTGTTTGAGATGGCACTCGTGACAATGGAATTCAATACTTGTGAGTATTTCATGGAACCTAGAATGAGAAAAACTTTCAGCACAATTTTTACGAGCTTTAAATGAAAACTTCAATGGAGCTATCTCACGTATGAAACATTTAAGAAATGTATTATATAGTAATGAGGATAGAATAGTTAGTGTCTGATGGAAGCATGTATCGATTTGAATTCGTCTTTGTCGATATTCATAACGAAATGATTTTCAAGGAGAGTAGGATTGGGTTCATGCAGTCTGAATTTTTACAAAAGTTAAAACTTTTATTCTTTCGTAGTGATAACTTCACATATGATATGAAACACCCAAAATAAGATTTCTAACTCGATTTTTTCGGTCCTCTGATCCTAAACTCATGTTGACAAAAACTACAAAATTATCTATCTACAGCTTTTGTGAATGTAGAATTATTGTCTGCTGAAAGCATTTGGAAACATAAATTAGATCAAACTACATTTAAAATCAATTTTGTTCTGATCTATAACATATGAATTGCGATATGTTCGCTTCATTTTCCTGCACGTGTATTTTTTTCATGTCGTTTACTTTGTTAATACGAGATATATAGAACTGTTTCAGTTTATAATTATCGACTAATTACAAATGTTAGTGTTCGAGTAACTGTCATTTATAATACTATTGCCAGTGGATCAAGCATTAAGGGGACTCCCCCCTCACAGAAACGATTTCTCACCTAGGATGGATCATTTGGGCTGAAACTTTCAGGAACAAGTGATCCTGATGAGATATGCTTGTGATAAAAATTTCAGCTCGATACACCCGAGTAGATCGAACTTACGGTCTGTTCTCATACCTCCCAGGAAAATGGGAATCACTCAGTCACAGTAAAGGCTAGAGAGCTCGGGATGGCGTCAAATTAAAGCTAGTCTCTGTGCGCAAATTTTCATCAGACGAATTTTTGAAATTTCTTTCCATTCATTTTTTATGACTATTTTACTGGGCAGGTCTGCAAAAACACGTCACTCAAGCAACAGTAAATTCCACTTTTCTCAGCCCAGGAGAAATGTATCAAAAATCCGTCTGATGAAAAGTTAGCCCTGATTCAGAGCTTTAAAACAAAAAAAAATATTGAATAATACCCAGGACCGGGACGGAGTGATTCCAATCTTTCTGCTAAGAAACCGTATTCTGAGAAAAACGCCAAAGAAGTTTTAGAAATGCGTTTTTTTCATTGAAATTCGAAAAAAAATATTAAAATGACATATTTGCAATATATTTCATTGGACTTTTTTAAAGCGCATAACAAATGCAGTTACCTAACGTCATCTATCATGTTCAAATAGTATTGCTCTCCTTCTTTTCGGGTATTGCACGTATAGCACAATATTTCAGGATACGCTGATTCACAGCTCTTTGAATAAATTAAAAAAACTTGAAAATTTTTAGACAGAAGATGAGTAAGACGCTGCAACCGAATTATAATTAGCGTAACTCATGTTCTCTCAGCGACAAGGCATTATCACTTCTATTTTCCGGATTTTTAATTATTTTTAATTATTCTACGCCAATATTGTGAATATATTCTCGCGCAATGTACTTGAACTATAAAATATTCAGTATTGAGGATAAAATATAAATATATAATCTTTATAATGAGTGTTGGTACATGCTTAGTGTTCAATATAAAAATATTCTATTCAATGCTGCCACAAGTGGCAAGGCAGTTTTTTCGAAACTATGAAAATTTTTCAAAATTACTAAAATTTTTCGTAAAACATGATAGTAGGGTGGTTGAGTTTTTTATCGATAAGTTCACGAAAACCTGATCATTTTGCAAAAAGCTACCTATATTCGAGGAGAGGAAGCTTCGGCGCATCTTTCTGTGTAAAAAACTCTATTTTGATTTTTCTTCAAAAAATTGGGTTTTCTAAGAGGGAGGGGGGAGTGTCCCCTTAATTCCATGGTCAGCAGTAATAGCACTGTTGGACCAAGTTCGTCAACGACTGGAGTTGGAATTGGTGTTTTTACCAAACCTGTCTTAGGCGCAATTATTGTAATTGAGTGGTAGAGTCGAGGTCGAATAATGAAATTCTTTTTTCAATTTCACTCGGGAAGAATTGAAACGATCCGATCAGACAGAAATCACCTATGCCATCGAACTCAGCAAATCAGTTCGAAGCTCATTTTCTATATTGTTAAGAATCGATTGTCAATTTGATTCGAATGGAAGCAAAAAACTAACAATTGAATATTTGCATCATTTCGAAAAATTAATTTCTCGTTTGTTGTCGAAGTCGATTTGTTTAAGTTTTATTTGTTCGATCAAATTTATCTCTGATTAAATCATACCACAAATGGTGACCGAAATAAATAATAATCATTTGAGATTGATCTTCCTTGCTTAGATCAATTTGATCGATTGGAAATATTTTTGATAGATGCGTCAACTTCAATTGTTGAAATGAAGTTTGTCGTCGATGAAAATGGCTATTGAATATCACTGGCATATCTGATCAATAATCATCCACTCAAAGTTCGATAGTCGAAGCTGAAATAACTACTAAACACAAGCAAAAGAGTTCTTTCTTTCGAATTCAATTGATTTGATCGATTTAATCTTGATGGGATGTGGGTGTAGGTATGATCGTCTATTCACTCACATCCACACCCAACCTTGAATCTTTATTAAAGCTTGAAATAAAGTCTACTGTTTGCTAAAAAACTGAGTTGTCAATCGTCTAAACGGCGTACGCTGCAATTGTAGAAAAAAGAATTGAAATGAAAATATTGAGCAAGAAGCAATCAAACATGCGCAACGTGGGTAACATACGCACGCTCTCATTCGACAACAAAACACGCAAATGTTTTTTTTTCTTTTCGTCTGCCGTTATTACACCACATCAAACATACTCAAATACTATACTTCTATTCTTTTCTATTCAGTGTCGGGGTCGGCGTTTCGCGTGTCAGTTACTTCTAAAACTATACTTACCTATCTTAAAGACTCTCATTAAATTAGTACCGCTCAGGAGGGAACCATAACAACAACACACTTCCAACAAGATTTTCAAGGATTCGCTGGTCCATCTAAAAACTGCTCGCACTATCCGACCTCGACTTTTTTCCTGCCAGTACCGTTGAAATAGACTACCATCTTTAAGATCATTATTGCTATGGATGTCTAGAACTTGGTCGAATACGATCGATGTCATGAACAATATAGAAAAGTAACTGGACTATAAACGGTGTCTGATAAGTTCTATGAGCCTCCATAAAAATTAGTTTATATGAAGACAGAGAGCGATTTCCTGAGTCTATCTCTACAAGTTTTGAGTACTTGTGTCGATGTTTCAAATGAAATAATATTGATTAACATTTTCTCTTTTAATAATAGTAATATAAATATGCGTATGCAATGGTCAAATATTCGAAATCAACTAACTAAAATTTTTCAAATATTTCTATTCATTAGATAATAAACTTTGGATGAAATAACAGTATGCGACAGAGAAGTATATAGTTATGTTGGTTGTTTTCTGTTACTAGTCGCATAATGAAAAAAGTATACATTGAATCGACAGTTTCAAACAAACAAAAAGCATGAACGTGCCTACAAGATGAAACTCTTTTGCTCAATACACGATGTTTTTTTCATGATCTATGTGTATATAACATCCGAGTATTAAATAGTCAAAATGCAGAAAAAAGGCGGTCAGTTTATGCGGAAGTGGATCTGTGGATGTGGGTAAGAATGAAATGAGTACCATTAGTCACACCATCAGTCACCCACACTTACACCAAAATCTACGGAGGGCTTATCGAGGGCTTTGAAAAGATAACGAAAATTGCACATGTTGTTTGCACATTGTCTAATCTTAGCTTGATGAAATCTCCTATTCGTAAAAACATCAAACGATATGTGTGACCAGTTCTTAAACTAAATTCGTGCTAATACTTGATTTTATTTCAGAAGCTCGAAGTACAAATTGAATTACGGGAACAAAGTCAAAAAGAAATACTTTGAACTATAGAATATCAAGAAAGTAATTGAGACATGTTGCTTCTATTATGATATAGGACTCAAAACGTAGGTATTCGGTAGCACGACATCTGAACTACATCTGGTAAAAACTCATACTTCTCCGAGTGTACTATGGAGGTTTTAGAAAAACAAAAGACAGTTAGAGTATTCTTGCCTGGCCATTCCCATATATTTTATTGAGATTCTTTTAAAAAGGTGTGATTGAAATTAAAATGTAGAAAATGATGATTATTCAAACGATTTAGTTAAAATCTATAATTAAGTACAGATGAATTTAATTCAATATCCAATGTTAAATATTTATTGTGTTTGTCTTGTTGATTTTGATCGAATGTCAATGTGTCTATTGCGAGAGCCATCGACTGATCATTTGCCATCTTTCGAGTAGCATTTGCTTTATGAAAAGATTTTGAGCGTGATGATGATTTAGTACACCGAGTTGAATTCTGTGATTTAATCTTTTTGTCAGGATCTTTTTTCTTTAAATGTAGAATCCGTCGCAATAATGGTAAAATCAAAAGTTTGCTGATAAGAAATCCAAAAGCAAATAGTTCAATACATAAAGAAGTAAATAACAAAACCTTGAAAACTAATTCACCTGTTCGAACAATCGGTTGTTCAATATTTTTAATAAAAAATGGACGTTCTTCAAGCATTACTTGGATCACAGTTAAAGAAGACATATAACGTAAATAATTCCCAAAGTCTACATAGTAGGCTTCATCCGATAGTGGCACAGTAGTGAAAGTTGGCATCCATAAACCTGAATAAAGAGTTTCATCTGATTCTCTCAGTGCATTTGTCATATTAATGTTTTTAATAAATATAATTGGAATATAAGTTGCTCTACCAATAGCTTCATTAGGTGTCGAATAAAATCGACAAAAATCTAGTTGACGTAATGTACTGCTCATATTTATTTTACCTTGTCCTTGAATACATATACGAATAGCACCGATCCAATGAGGACCAGTCATATTAAACTGCACAGTTGTCTCATGTTTCGGTACAGGAAGTGTTATAGATGTTGTCGCTTCTGAAATTGATTGTGTGCAATTATTTACTAAGTGCACATATTTACTGCCACTAAGGTTTTCTTGTGTAGTAATAAAATTACATGTAAATCCAGTATTAATTAATTCAACAGTTAAATAAAATATTTGTGCATCAAACAGATCAAAAATTGGCTGTTCTTTTTCTAATTTAGGAATATCAAGAAGTACAAGACCACTAGAAAATTGTGCATTTATCAATGATTGATCACAAGCAAATCTAGCTGGTTCAGAAATCTCTTCGATTGGATAACGTCGTAAAAATGATATAGAAAACCAATAAGAAAATGAAATCAATACAAGAACAGCCAATGTTGCTAACCCACCAGCCAACTTTTCACCTTCGCCAATTATATCTGTATGTTTAAAAACAATCTTAGCTTTGTGTCTACCTTTTGTAAATTTTTGGCATTCACATTCCCTAATTATAATCATAAATAGTAAAATAAAAAAACATACACCGCCGACAATTAATGTCCAAAAAAGTGGAGAAATAACTAAACAACGTTGATTGGAATTAATTTGAAACATATTTTTTAACAAGAGATCTTCAACATCTGTTGTATCACCTGTTTCAGGATAAGCAACTGCTTGACTATAAGAAAGTACTGTATTCAAGTCAATATCCGCTAGGGATGCAAGTGGACAAAATGAATTTGATGAACTGTTCGAACATGGTATGCATTGAAGGACTCCATTAACAAGTGTGCCAGGATTTCGAGTATGTGAAGGACAAATTTGACATGGGCCTAAACTTGAACGGTTTTTATATGTTCCACCAATACAAAGATTCGGCTCAAAATAGAATACGAATACGAGTTGTGTAGTATCAATCCATGTCGATGTGTAACCAGCAGAAGCACTAGGAATAATTAAAATATCAGCATTATCTGTAAGTATAGCCATATTGCCTCCACTGGTAATACCAAATCGAGCAAAAGATGGACGTAACAAACGGCTACCCAATATTTGTTGATTATTAGGAAAAGTAAAGTAAGGAGAAGTCAACATAATTGACTGTTCATCATAAAAGAATATTTGTGATTTCGACCAAGGTGTTGCATCTGCATCTACAACTAATACAGCAATTGTTGTATCATCTGCCCAATCTACGACACGACCGAACGAAGAAGCATAAGTATAGGATAATGTATGTTTATGGGTAACATTTAATGATGATCCTAGATTTTCAAGAACGACAACCGTTGAAAGCCGATGCACTCCAACGAGAACCTTTTTACTACGAATTGAAACTGATAATTCATAAAGTTCATTGTATGAGACAACATTCGATGGTACAAAATATGTCGTTTCAGAAGTAAAATTCGTACAAGATGCATTTATTATGGTAGAAAGATTAACTAAACATACAAGTGCTGCATAGTTTTTTTTCACATCATTCAAGTATCCATAACACGCAACTACTGCCCACGTATTAGCTACATCAACAGCATGTGGAATAAAGCCTGATGATGGCCAAACAGAATTCGTCGTAACATTTAAAGTCATATTATTAGCATAAATATCTAATTTAAATACAAATGAACTCGCAAAACCATAAGCAAAAGTACCATTATTATCGACAGCAATAAGAAAATATTCTTGATGAAATCCTCCTGTACCCATATCTGTACACTGAACTGTAGAGTTGCATGTTGATTTTGTTATATAACCAATACAAAAACATGGAGTTATTGTCAACATTTTCTCCGCAGCAAAAACAAATATAAATTGTTCAGCATTAGTGCTATTTTTAGCAATACCTACTACTGCCACGCTATGAACATAACGATCAGATATATCGTATCTCATATTACATCGTATAGGTCCTCCGGCACTCGTATTTCTGAATGGGTGCATGATAACAGCAAAGTTGGCGAAAGAGTTTGATGCCGATACAAATATATCATCATTAACAGACATTTTTGTACCTCGAACTACATTGTTTAAATCATATTGACACCATGAAATATGACAAGACATCGTAAGAAAAAATATAATGCAAATGAACATTTCGACCTATCGGTACTTGAGATATATTTTATTCTAAAAAGAATACTATTTTTCATGAAAATTTGTGTTGATAGACAAGCAATTGAAATTTGTTTTTGTTAAATGAGCTTGAAATTTTGATGCTCTGGCATATCAATTCTCTAAAACGTGTTATTTCATCTTTTCAATCAATTTTTTATGAAACAGGATGACTCACATAAAAGAAGTGAGGCAGATAAGAATCTTTCCTGGCCAAAAACGTTTTCAGCTTTGTTGTATTGGAACTATGTCAGAGATACTCAGGATAGTTCCCAGACACTTAGTTTCACGAATTCGCTCAGTCAGGTTTTTTTGGTCTCCGGTTTCCTACAGGATTTCAGAAAAAAATTTTATCTTTTATTTTTCCTAAATTCACCTGATAATATGTGATCGATTACGCTGATCACGAATATTGATATCATTCTAATTATTTATCTCTATTTCTTTTGCTTTTCGCAAAAAGAATATTCTTCTGTCATCGTAGCGGAGGAATTACTGAACAGTCACAACATAGAATGATTCGGACGACAACTTGTACGCTGAATCCGAATATCTAATCAGAAAAGTGGTTCAAGTTGAAGCTTCTATGAAGATTGGCAAAAACTGGCTAAAATCGTAGTTTTTGACGGTATTCGTCATAAATGATCTAGACGGCGACCCAGATAGACACCCAGTCACATCGTCAAATTTTTGTCGTACGGGTAATTTGTCGTTCTCTATTCGATGATGCGGACAAAGAACCGAAAAAAGTTACGATACAAGTTTTTCAAAGGTCTCCAGATGGTCTCCCCAAGCTCTTTCGTGGTTTCATAGCAACTAACATAACCATGAGATTCAAGGTACATACGAATCAGCCTGATGTTGTCTCAGGCAAGTGAGAAAACTTTATTTCCGACCAAATGATAATTGGAAAAGTAACGGAAATCCAAGGGGGAAAAAGCTGATTGCCTGATTGCATAGATTGTCAATGATTGTTAATGATTGTTAATGATTGTTAATGATTGTTAATGATTGTTAATGATTGTTAATGATTGTTAATGATTGTCAATGATTGTCAATGATTGTCGATGATTGCGGATCGGAATGATCCACGTAATTTGGCTTAGTTTTAAGTTTTCTCATTTAGCACTTCGTAAAAGCAAGGAAATACAATAGACTATTAAATCGTTTGTATTATTTAAATGATATCCTTTTACTGTGCTCGCTGAGTTATACTGATATATGATAATTACTCGGGCTAAACGCTCATTTGAAAATAAATTGTAATTGTCAAAACTCATACTGGCTTATATATTTGTGTGCCCGATCAATGATTTAAAAAGACTATCAACAGATAGGTGATAGGGGGAAATTATAAAAGACAAAGCCTTTAAACGAGTCAGACTCCTGGGGCTAAAATAAGCATAAGAAAACAGCGAGACTAAGTGCATACTACACGACAGTCTTGTTCTTTAGTGCTTGACTTCAAGGTTAGGTCAGATAACACACGATCAACCTGTTCAATCGCGGTCGTGAGATCTTGCTCAACTTAAGACATATAGTAGAGGAAAGTGTTCTAAGAGTATTGGCGCAAGTTGATGCAAAAAGTGTTGTTCCCTCGATTTTTTTATGACCATTTTGCTACAAGTCCTAAAAGGAGCCTCTTCATTAAAAGCTCCCTTATGCAATGACATCGCACGAGCCCCTGAAGTTCCTCGAAGTGCTTTATTATATTGGATAAATTTTATCTAATAAAAGTTAGTATTATATCCTATATTATCCTTCATCAAGTTATCCTCTCAAAATGTACAAAACTTTCTAAAGATCCTTGCACACCTCTTCAAGCTTATTGATAAGCAATACATTCCCAGAAATATCTGTACCCTTACATGAATTGTTCAAACAGAAGTTTACTTTTTGAAAAGCTGTTTTCAGGAAAGGGAACAGAGAGTCCTGCATTGATTTATACTGTGTAGAATGCATGTCATCTAATGAATTAGTCCAAGAAATTTTTAACCGAAAACAGATATACAATTCCTATGGGATATAAGGCTCATATTGTTTTGGTTTTTGAATAGGGTTTTCCATCCTCTTCCAAAGAGATAGCACACCAATTCATTTTATTACGTTACAGTACTCGACCACTGCTTTAAATTTATGTAATTCTGACTTCTAGAAAACAAATCTCTCCAGTAGTTAGCCTCTCAAAGTCGTCAAAATGATTATTTTTTAAATCATCTCCTGGGGTGATAGGAGCTACATAGAGAACAGAGATATTTATGATAACAGGCATTTGGTGAGATCTCTCTATGGTCAAAATTTCAATTTTGAAACATAATCTGTTCATGAAATCTGTAACCTCACGAAATAGCAAAATATATGATCCTGTTCGTGCATCTCTCAGCATTGTTCAACTCCTCAATGGTTCATCCATTTAAACTTATTTGCCTTTGGGCAATATAAAATTAGGATATCTACTTCTAGTAAAAATTGCAAAGAAAAAGCACTTGTTTTGTGAAAGGCTTTTGAAGCCATAAAGAACAAAAGTCGAATCCATTTTTCGCGATAGTGTCCTCAAAAACAGAATGCAATATCTCTAGCAGAAATCAGTATCTATTGAAATAGATTGCGCCAAAGGTTCTATGAACGATGCTTTCTTGATACTTGCTTAGAAGGCAGTTGCTCTCAAGGCTCATAAAAAGCTTCAATCAAAGCGCAGACTCACTTTCAACTACATCGCAACCACACTTATACTGTTACTCATACCTAAATCCTCGCCCTTTGCCACACCCTCAACTTTTACTTAATTCATCTTTGGTGTCATTCAGTGCCCTGCGTGACTAAGATCTTTTGGTTACAATCTTGACAGAAAAATCTTATCAAGCACAATCACAATCGCGATAAATCACGAAAAAAAGAATAGTTACTGATCTTGATAGAAATTTTTTTCTCACTATGCGAGAACATTATTTTATGGAATATTTTGTTGGACATGATCAGCACGAACAGACAGAAATATTCAGAGCCTGCACGAAGGACTTGAGATCCTGGGGGTACCCATACTTCTACAAAGAAATCTCTACAAAAACAGACGAACGCTTGAAAGAATCTACTTTTATTAGTGAGAAAAGCTACAAATGTTCAATTATTGTAGGCATATACACCTACTATACTCCTCCCCACTTTCGTGGAGTATGGATGACATTGACCTAGGCATTGTTCGAGCATATTGGTCTTTCTAGCTTTCATGTTTCATCGTTTTTCACTGGCTCAACGCATGATGTTTTTTATGGCGTGTATTTCATTGCGTATAGTAGACGCAGTGTAAATGAGTGCTTATTTTATTTTCTGTTTTTTTATTTGTAAAAACTTATATTGCATAATAAATAATCCTGACATAAAAACCTATTATGGCCACCATCATGAGTCCTTTTTATAGTCACGATCAGGAATCTTTTTTATCATCACGATCACGATCACGCGTGATCGCAATTGTGATAGTGATCGTAATCGTCATGCAGAACACTAGTGTCATTAATTCTAAGTTTGTGTATTTCTACTACATACCTGCCCATGTTACTTTCATATCAATAAAAGGTTCAAGATAGTAATCTAGAAAAATCTCTAGTAGATACTGGATTATTTGTCACAGCACAATATGATTAACCACATATTTTCTGAATGGGAGGCTTAACGAAACAAGCAGGATGATCAGAGACAGTACGCATTGTTGAGAAGTTGTGTTACTGTAAGACGTAGAATGCGAACTAAATCGACTCCAACTGAACTATAAGGATTTGGTCCGGGTTTGGTTCGGATTGAGTGAGATTGAACCATATCCGAACCGGTTTTATTAGGAACTAGTCAAATGGGACCGAACTCAAAGCCAAAAAGCTCCATTCTATTCGATCGTTGATCCAGATTGTTGATGATTGTCAATGATTGTTGATGATTGTCAATGATTGTCAATGATTTTCAATGATTGTTGATGATTGTTGATGATTGTTAATGATTGTTAATGATTGTTAAAGATTGTCAATGATTGCTTTGATTGCAATCAGCTTTTTCCCCCTTGCGGAAATCACATGGAAATAAGTTTTCGACAACGCTGAACATCATGGAGATACTAGTTGCTTTAAAGCAATAAAAGATTTTGGAGGTGTTTTCTGGAGACTGTAAAAAGCTTGTTCTACACCTTTTCCTGCTCTTCGTTGGCACCATGGAATAGAGCATCAAACATCAACCGTTGATGAAAAATTGGACGATGTGACTTCGTGCCTATCCGGGTCTCCATCCGGGTCATTCATCAGGAATGCCGTCAAAAACCACCATTTCAGGGTGTGGGTGGAGAGAAGAACAACAACCACATCCACGCTTACAGCTCGGTTTGCCAAGTGTGCAACTTTTGACCTTTGTTTGGTGAATATCTCTGTCAAAATTCAGGACATAGGGCTGAAAACTTAGCATAGCCTCTCCACACCAGGCCCAGTATACTCTGAACGTTTCGTCCAATTTGAATGTTCCTGGTCTAGGACCAATGTTTAAGGGAGCGGGCCCTAAGAGGAGCACACGGGTCAATAGAACGGAAAAGCTTGTTAGCGCAGCTCCAGAGGAGCTGAAATGTGGAACTCACAGATATCTTCGAAACTTGTTATCCTGATGTCTGATGTTTAAACTGCAAAATACCTTTTCTCGAGTATTTATGAAAGCATTGATATATTATATATAATCGAACGCCTTCTATGCGCGGTTGTTCAGGTCTGTAATGGGGGCGGGGGGAAGGGAGGGGGAGCCGCCAACCTCGAACTGAAAACTTACACTCACTATTTTCTTCGAAAACATACGTGAGTTCCACAAAATAGAGCGTTGAATAAATGGACCTATGAAGAGGTTTGTGACGTTTACGTTTCGTTTTTGTTCATGTACTTCTGAACTTATGAATTATGGTTCTTATGCACACCGAAATAGAGCTG